TATGACCTTGCTTTGTTTTTTTATTATACTATGTTATGAACTTCTTTAATTATATGTCTGAACTTCTTTAATTACAACATCTACAAAATCTAGATATAAAATGTGTTCCACAAGAGTTAGAGGTAAAAAATTAATTGGCATGAAAATGTTGGAGGGAAAAGAGATTTGGCTTAAAATTAATGAGATTATGGGTCCCATCGAAAATCTAGGGTTGAATTGTCAACCGTAACATTTCCGAACACTTGGATGTTATTGGGTCCCACAAAAATTGTGCAATTTCAAAATTGGGTCCCACATATTTTCGGTCACATGGGATCATAGTTGGTCACATATGGTCACAAGGTCGAATTTGTCAATTCTTTCAATTGAATCGATACGAATGTTGTTACATGTTCCACATAAACACCTAGTTACTATATTCAAGTGCTAAAATGGATTATTACGAATTCTGCATGTAAAAGTAGTCTTCCCATATGTGTTCCACAAATGTTCATAGTCATTTATGAAGGATTTTGACATTTTTGGTGGTTTTGTATTACAACCTACTTATAATGTTTTGAAAAATTCTCAACAATACTATATTTATGATTCTTATACCTTGTTATAACATACCACAGTCTAAAATACACCTTAAACCCTATATTTACCTTTGTCACTTGGTCACAGGTCACATCCGGTCACAATGGTCACATAGTGCAAAATTGACTTTGGTCACATTGGTCACATGCTGGTCACAATGGGTCACAATCGGTAGTCATATGAGATGGACTTATTTAATGTTTTTTAATATGTTTACACACACAAAAGTAAATGGAATACAGTAAAACAAATATCAAATTACATGAAATACAATACAACATTATTATACAATTTTTGTCTTTTCTTTCATTCAAAATTAAGTGTACTCTCACACATTGCTGATGATGATGCTCCTGTAATGACATGGATCCGCTTCCGGGATTCACCAGGACCTGGGTAGCGATTTTGTTTCGGCCTCCCACTTTTTCGTTTCTCTTCCATTATAGGAGGTAAAACCACACAGTTTACAACATCTGGGTTATCGATGCTCCATTCACAACAATCGGGGACCGGATACACAGTTGTTTCATAAGCATGACCCCATGATTCACGCAGATAATAAGGAGAACACAAGTCCGGTATCATATTTGCTTTCCCAACCTTATGGAGTGCTGCAATTGCGTGACTACATGGGATCTTATCAATATCAAACACTCTACAACTGCACGATCTATCTCCGATTTTGACCAAGTATTTTCTACCTTTTTCACCGGTCACCTCAAACTCTTCTGTAATAGAGTTCAACACAATTACCTCATACGTACACGCCAGCTCGTAACGCTCATGTAGCACTTTGTCAACATGCGGTGTCAGTTTTTGAGAATCATCGGCACATCTTG